AAAAACAACAACAACAAACAAACAAAAAAATCCAAAAAAAAAACAAAACAAAAACAACAACAACAAAAAAAAACAACCCAGTTGAACGAACCATCTAGCTGCCTGCTGAGGGCCCAGCTCCTTGTTCAAAGCGTACAGACTCCGTGGCTCTCGAAGTTTGGGGACCTGGTGAGTGAAACAGGTTGCGTGAATATTGTTCGTACATGCATTTATGTAAAGTGCCTAGAGCTGTGTTTACACGGGAGTGGGCGCTATAGAAATGATCTTCATTATTATTATTATTATAAAAATGGGATTTAAATCTGAAAAAGTAAATTTGAGCCCTACATTTTGAAACTTACTCAATGTAACTTATGCAAAAGGTGAATCGAGGGAGTCAAGGAAACCTGAGAAAACATAATATCACAACTGAAAGAGCTGCGGAACTGACCTACCATAGAAAACTGCATTTCCCCTCGACGCTTAACGGCAACGGAGGATGTTTTAGTTTTAGTATGAGTTTTACGGCACTTGCAACACAATAAGGTCATTTCAGTGCCGAAGAATAGATTATATAGTACAAGAGAGTAACATACACAAAAAAGAAGGCACAAAAAAGAAGGAGGGGAGATAAGGACGACAGATGTTTGATAGGAAAGAAGGGGCAAACCACACCAGAGCACCCGCCAACCACCCATGAGGGAAATAAGAAGCAATGAAAAAAGGGACAAGAATCATACTCGGGTACACATTTGTAACCCAGTATTTGATAGGACTATCTGCCTAGCCTCCCCTGGCTCCATTAAACTTCATCAAGGCAAATACTTGAGAATATTTCATTAAAGAATTATTGTCTACTAGTTGCATTTCAATAAACACTCAAATACTCAACATATCAACATTCTAAAACATTACTGACAAATGAATGCACAGAAAATGACTGATTTACTAATAAATTAGGGACATAAATAATAATGATTATATGTACAATGATTACACAGTCCCACTATTTCACTAGATTCCCGGGAAACCACCATTGTAAACATTTAAGACTTTTAATTGATTAAAAGAAACTCTGTCAATCTGTAGCTTTTCTTCAATAAATAAAAATCAACATACCAAGAATGAATACGTACACACAAACAAACATTCTGACAATGGACAGTCAGCAAATGATTCTAAAATCAATATATTTAAGCTCACCCAATAAACATTCTTAATCTTTATTTTCATAAGAGTTTTAAGGCACTTGCAACACAAAATAAGTGTTTAAGATTAGAGACGTCACTACTAGAGAGTAACATACAAAGAAAAGAAGGAGGGGAGATGAGATATTTGATAGGAAAGAAGAAGCAAACTACACCAGTGCACATATCCACCACCCACTGATACACATTCAGACAATTATCACTATATGACTTTGTGAAAACCATTACACAAATAACTACTCAATGAATAAAGGGGGACTCTCGAAGTCTAGAGGTTATGGTATTTGCCTTTCGTTCAATTTGTCCTAGGTTCAAAAACTGACATCAAGTAAAATTTTCTTCTCAAAAACGTTCTCCTTTGACCTTCTTTCCTGCCCCCTCAGACCATGTTCTGTCGTATGCTTTCATCTCCACTTTCTGCCCCAATCCTATCTTCCTTAACCCCATCCTCTGGGCTTCTGACTCTTTCTTCAGCCTTACTACAGCTACTCTGAGGCTCCTTCTTACTGCTGACTCTCAGCAACACCACAGATCATAGGGGTAAGTAAGATCTAACACACAGCGTCTTCCGATAAGGGCAAAAAAATCTCGGAGGTCCCATGTGCAAATTGGGTATATTAAAGATCCCTTGGAGGTCCAAAATTTATGAGATTAAGAGTAGGCTTTGGCGTCCACGCAAGAAAACATTTACAAAAACAAAACGAAAAAAAAAGAATAAAGTTTCAGTCAAAAAATACTCACAAAAACACACTTTTTAAAGTATTAAACAAATAATTAAAATGAGATGATGATTGATTGAACACATAAAGAGATGAATAAAGCCTCACCATCTTCCCTGAGTCCCCATAGCTGTAGATGAGCTGTGTAGTGCGAAGGTCATCTGGCTTGTTTTCTGACGACAGGAAGATAGTATTATTATTACTATTATTATTACTGATATCATTATCATCATCATTATTATTATTGTTATTATTACTATTAATACTATAATTCTGATT